GGCACTAATATAATTTTAGAATGATGACAATGACACATTGTAATTATGGCAACATAAACTGTGTTTGTATGATTTCTAGGATGTGGACGATGCCACACTGTCCCGTTTGGAGCTGGAGAGGAAGATTGAGTCTCTGATGGATGAGATTGAATTCCTTAAGAAGCTCCATGATGAAGTAAGTGAGGCCTCTTACTTACTCCTCTGCACTTTTCCACCGTGCTTGTATGAATGGAAATGTCCTTTCTCTCAGGAGTCACCTATCACAATGTTATCTAGAGACCAATAATGGAAATAGTATTTGTGGTAAACTAGTATATTGACTGATTGCCTGCTGTGAGATCATCCCAGTGATTAGCTCACCAATAGAGGAACAGATGCTGCAGAGAGTAATTTTATGTGCCGGTCTAGTCGGCTTCAACTTATTTTATACAGCTGCTTTAAATTTAAATTTTCCATCACAAAATCTGATGTGAAGATGTGTACAGCAAGCTTATCTGTGAGAACAGGGGGCAATATCTGCAAGGGAAGCGAGTCTCAAGAGAGAAAAGAAAAGATTATTTGAGCGCCGTCGAGACAGAAGTTGGATGAAATGCAATGTTATGTGATTGTAATGAAGTGATGCTTCATTAATTACATTTTTGGAAATATATGCTGACAATATTTGTCTATATTCAGGAAATCCAGGAAGTACAAGTGAGTGTCCAGACCCAGCAGCTGAAGATGGAGGTGGACAGCAGCGCTAGGCCCGACCTAACCGGTGCTCTGAGGGACATCAGGGCCCAGTATGAGACCATTGCCCTAAAGAACATGCAGGAATCTGAGGAATGGTACAAGTCCAAGGTAGGCAGACATACACAGTGAGAGTCACACATGAATGCTGCAAACACAAATGACTCATTGTGTGTTTCCTCTCTTGTTCCTGCAGTTTGCTGATTTGACTGAGTCTGCAAAGCGCAACACTGATTCTCTGAGGCAGGCCAAGCAGGAGGCCAATGAGTCCAGGAGGCAGATTCAGTCTCTCAACTGTGAAATTGATGCACTGAAGAACACTGTGAGGCCCAACACCACCTGTTATTTGTATATATGAATGTATATCATTATGTCCTCTTATTGCAGTGGTCCCCAGTCTTTTTCCTTAAGGGAGACTTTTTCTATTATTGAGTAAACAAAAGACCTTCTGACAAAGTGACATATTTTATGGATCTTTCATATTATATTTAACATATATCAATGACAGTACAGTGATAAACTTAACAATTAACCTAAATAGTCTAAATAACTGCCAGATGTCTGTGTAAAATGATTTGGATTAATTTTGAGCAGATTAAAACCGTACATACTGTGAATAGTGTGTTCAGGTCTTCACCGTGAAGAATCAAGAAGGCAATATTGAAACTACAAATGTTATAAAGTGGGGTTATACAGCTGCTCTATAAAACAAGCCCCGTCCCCGCTCAAATCGTTTTGACCATTATAATTTATATGTTTTCCACAGTATCCAAAGAAGGGGCCCCAGTGATAAGACATTACAGATGTGGTGGTGATTCTTTGTTTGTTGTTGCTAAATCAGATATCACTTAGCCCTATTGATAAATAAAAATTCCATTTAGTTTTCTTTGCAGAAGCCTTGATATAGGCCTACTTTATATATTTTCTAAATTTTCTTAAACCCATAAAATCTAGAAGGCCTCATGGCCCCTGAAGCTTTGCCGACCCCTAGTGGGGGTCGGGACCCCCAGGTTGGGAACCAGTGTCTTATTGCACTGTATGTGCTGCTGTGTTGTTTCAGAATGAAGCTCTGCTGAGGCAGATGCGTGAAATGGAGGACCAGTTTGGTAATGAGATTGGCAACTACCAGGATAACGTAGGCAGACTGGAGGATGAGATCCGCCACCTAAAGGACGAGATGGCTCGCCATCTTCGGGAGTACCAGGACCTCCTCAATGTTAAAATGGCGCTGGACATCGAGATTGCTACTTATCGTAAGCTGCTGGAGGGGGAGGAGAGCAGGTGAGGGAGGACATACTGTGTTTCTGGTCCAAATTTATTATGTTTTTACATGATTATTATTATTATAATATTAATACTGTAGATTTCTCTCTAAAATGGCGTTGATGTTGGGGTTCTCCAGATAATCCAGTTTTATGTGAATATAAACTGATAGAACATCTGTTGTGGATTTTCTTGTGTTATAACTAACTTTATGGAAGTTATATATATATATATATATATATATATATGTTACTGGTTTGTTTCTTCAGTCTTTAATCGAAGTCAATTATAAACATCAGCGTAATTTGCAACTCTAAAGTAAAGTAAAGCAAATTACTTTTCATTACAAATTTGTTTATAACACCCAAATGTTGTATTCCCTGTTCAGGATTACTGTTCCCATCCTCAATCTTGGCATGAGCAATCACTTTGGTGAGCGAGGTGAGTTATAGTTCTCTTTATCCAAGGTCAAATATAACATGATTAACTGGATCACTTTGCTGTTCAGTTAAAGAGCTGTGAGGTAGGAGGAGCCACTGGTTCTGATTATCATTTCAGTTTTTTCGTCGAGCTATGTCCTCGATATTATTTAACAAAGGAAAACGCGGTACTCTCCTGGATAATGTAACTATGCTGTAGGTTTATGTTATAGCCTTAATTTCTAATCATCATCAACTAAGAAATCATGTCAGTTTGGTACGGATGATGGCTTGAAAACTTAAATTCCCATGAGCCTAAGCCGCTGTTGGTATGGAGAAGAGACCAGAGTTGTAGCAAAATCAATTAATGTTTCATCATTGCATTGGAGCAAAACATGGCGACGCAGTTGCTGAATGCATCCAAAATTGACACAGAATCCAAAAGTAAATGGATTTAGGCTACGACTCATATTGTCCATTTTCTGACTGATTTTTACTTCTAAATTTTTACTTCTGGAACCAGGGATCCAATAAAATAGCTCCTCACATGTTGCTGCTCTATATCTCCACAGCTTATCACAGTCCATTTACAACTTATACAACATCTTAAAAAAGTAGTAGTTCCTAAAAGCAAAAGTATTTTGTGAATGAAAATGTTTCTGATTGTAAAGAATATCATCAGTGATTTAATCTGACTTGTCACAGACTATGAACAAACTCCAAGCAGCATGAGCAAGAAGACTGTGGTGATAAAGACAGTCGAGACTAGAGATGGAGAGGTACAGTGATTTATACAAAAAATAACATGACACAATGCAAAATATAACTTGGTGCTATTTGAAAGTGTGCAGAAACATAAGAGTTATATTTTATTTATGAAAGCTAATTTGAACAAATATGTTTCTTTCATCAGGTGGTGAAGGAATCCAGGAGGGAGAAGGAGAGAGACTCAGACCGCTCTGATATAACCGATAAGGATGACAAGGACGAGTAGATAAAACCTGATTAGAAAATGTGAAGGCCAGAGCCATGAGTGAAAAAATACATAAAATAGAAGAAAAAACAGGAAAAAAAACAAAACAAACTCTGATCTATATAGTCCTCATTCCCAATAGTTATGTGTTTTATTGTCTAGCAGAGAGTCTCTCAGTATAGGTGCAATGTTGAATGAATTCCCTTAGACAGTGTCACTTTGGTGCTATTTAAGCAACCCAACTTTTGCTAAACACTTGTTGTGTCATCTGTAGGGCTAAGCAAAACCACTTTATTAACATACCACTTGAGGCCTTGATTTACAGTGCAATCCCATGAAACCCTTAGACGACCACATGTTTGTAGCAGAACATTAAACTACAGTCTAAAATAGTTAGTTTAACTGCAGGAGTTCAGTAGTTTGTGTTGTAGATATGACTTACTAACAAAACTTCAGACACTGCCCTTTGGTCAACCTATCTTAAAACACAAACTGAGAATAAATTATCCCATTTGCATTTGTTTTAGAAGCTTTGCTATCCTCTTATTGTGCAAACCAACAAAACACCCAAGATATGGATAATTAAAAAACATGTAATGCACAGGAGATGTTGACATTGGCAATATGATAGTCACCAACTAAAAAGATTTGCTGAATGTGCTTCGCAATGCTGTGTGTATCTGACACAATTGATGAATGAAAATGTAAGTGCAAATAAAATTAATTGGAGAAAATCTGTGTTTTCTGTCCTCATAACTCATTATGAATTCACTACAAGAGTGTTTTTACTAATGCCACCTTTTCTGTAAGCAGTGCCAGAGCCAGTGTCTCTCCGTAGCCTGCTCTTTATGTCCAAGAGAATCAGAATCAGTGGCAAAATGTAACATGTGCAAGGAATTCCTATAGTATTTTGGATGCATAGTATGATGAGAAAATATTGAAAATTTGTCAGGCCCCTTTCCATCCAGGTTAAATGTACTTAAAGCAGGTAGTATTAGTAGTACTTATTGCTTGCCTGATCAAGACCAAAAGAACCTCATATGATATTCTGGTTTGTTTACATCACATGGTTGATTTAAAAAAAACTGTGTGCTTCTTTAGAAAATGTACAGTACCTTCACATGACCTCTGGTTGGTGGTTCTGGTTGCTAGATTCCTCTTCATCAGTGTTTTAGATGTTCATGTCTGCTAGTTTCAATGAAGGAAATGGTCAGTCAGTATGGGTACATAACATGGATAAACTGTATTTTAATAAACCTTTATAGAAAAGTAAACACGGTACAATTAATACACCAAAGAATGAAAATTGTTATTTTTCTTATGTTAAAGTAGGAGGAACTCTTTGTCCCTCACCATTGTGGCCCTAAGTAAAACCTCTCAGGCAACACTTTCAGCTCAAACAGCACCACTTAAATCTCAACATCTGGTACATCCAGACGTTAATTATCGTTAAGCTCACTTTCTTTGCCTCAGCCTGTCACTGCCGCTGTATTGATTTGGTTAATTTGGCGTTTGTCATGTAAGTAAAGCCGAGAAGGAGCTGCCTGAAATACACAAATCAGGGCACAACGTCACAACCAGTGACGACATTCCACATCCGGTTCCTGAGTTTTCGCTCTTGGCGCGAGACTTGTCCTCCGTACGGGACCGCGGGTTGTAAAGAAACATCGTCCTACTGATGGAAAAGCTCCTGACTACATTGACCACCGGTTGTTGAGCACGACACCCGTACAGTGACAGCACTTAAACCTCTTGGTAAGTTAGTCCGTGTTGTTTGGACTCGAGGCTCTGCGTCGTCCGCCTGCTGTGAGCTGAAGCTAACTGGCTACATAACATTAACAATATGTGTGGCTAATATAAAGCCTTGAATAGTCTACATATACCTCATAATAACAAGGTCGAGTTTGATCAGGTTTTGTTTGATCGGGTTAGATTGACAGCTAACGTTACAGTGTAACTTTTCACTGTAACGTTAGCTGTCAATAGTAAACTGTAGATAACTCAAACTTCAAAACTTCTCCAGTGTGACAGAAGAGCCAGGTCAACATGTCACCCATCAGCAAATATGTATTGGACTGACCTGATCCTGAAGAATAACACTTAAAATATGAAGTTCATAGTAAACAAGTCAACTACAGTTTTATTTATATAGCCCCAAAATCACAATTTACCACAGGGTGGCTTTACAGTTCGTACAACAATCCACACCCTCTGTCCTTAGACCCTGGATTCCCAGGATGAACAAATATGCAATAGATTTGGACTGTACAGAACAAACCAACAAAATCACATTGGACAATTTGTGATATATGAAAATGATAAAATATATGTGACAAATGTGGATGCAGGGGGATGCTGAATCCACTTTAGTTGTCGCCAACTGAGCTGCCATCCACCATGGAGCTGTTGATCTTAATCTGTTGCTCTTTCTGTATCCTCCTGTATGACTGATGAGACTAAACCTTCACTTCAGGCTGGCTGATGGTGTGTGGATTTATTCAGAATGAATTGCGAGCTTTTGGCAACGTGCACTGCTCTGGGCTATCTGGAGGGAGACACCTACCATAAGGAAGCTGACTGCTTAGGTGAGTGGTTTTTAAAATGGTTTTAATCAAAGGGAAGGGGAATATATTCATGTAATGGATTAGGGACAGAAAATCATTTGCTCCTGTCCCCTAACTCTTCTGTGCCTGTGTTGCAGAGAGTGTGAAAGACTTGATCAGGTATTTACGGCATGAAGATGACTCCCGGGATGTCCGCCAGCAGCTGGGTGCAGGCCAGATCGTACAGAATGACCTTCTACCTATTATCATACAGCATGGACAAGACAAGGCCTTATTTGATGCCTGCATCAGGTAGAAACCATAACATAAAAGTTTTCTCTTGAACTTGAAATGTATGATATGGACAAGACAAATAATCCTTTTGTTAATGTATCATAAAGAGATAAAGGGGATTGTTAATACACCAGTTCCAATATTGTGATACATTGTTGCTATATTTGTACCACGTAACATTATTGTATTACATTTACATTAAAAAATAGTTGGCTGTCGACGTTGCTGAATAAGAAACTGTAGCTCATATGACTCTTGTCTGTTTTTTCTCAGGCTCATGGTCAACCTTACTCAGCCTGCCATGCTTTGCTTTGGTAAAGTCCCAGATGACCCCGTGTTTAGACATCACTTTTTGCAAGTGACGTCTCATTTACAAGCCTATAAAGAGGTATTGTGCTCTCAGAAAATGTAAAATGAAAGATGGTATTGCAGTTATACTATGTAATGACATTTATAGAGTGAATATATATGGTTTGGATAGATTCTGGCATTAATTTACCCGTAATTCATGTTTTAAGTATTGTATTGTATAATAATTATTGCTTTTATGTCTTCTGCTATTACTTTCAGGCATTTGCCAGTGAGAAGGTGTTTGGCATTTTAAGCGAGATATTATACAACCTTCTACAACTGGTAAGTGCAAAAAAACCTCACCTGTTTCCTACCTTATGTCAGTAAAAATGGTTCTGTTTCTTCCTGTCTATACCTACTCACTTCCCTCTCTTTCAGGACTGGGAGCAGAGACAGGAGGAGGATAACCTGCTGATAGAGAGGATCCTACTGCTGGTCAGGAATGTGCTTCATGTACCTGCAGACCCCTGTGAAGAGAAGGTCGGCCTGAATGAATACCAATGTGATCATATAGGAGGCAGAGCTAAATCCGTCCTACGTTGGACTTTTTAAAGCTCTTTCCTTTACCCTTCATCTCACTTGTACTCTTCCCTAATCTCTATCTCCTGTAGAAAGTGGATGATGACGCCAGCATCCATGATAGGCTGCTGTGGGCCATTCACATGAGCGGCTTTGATGACCTGGTCAAGTTCCTGGCATCAGCCCAGAGTGAGCAGCAGTGGAGTATGCATGTGCTGGAAATAATCTCCCTCATGTTCAGAGACCAGGTGAGACTAAAGACCTCCTTGCAGGTATATGTCTAGATCTCTAGCTGTTCTGTGTTTGAGATCTTTTTCTTTCCTTTACAGACGCCGGAAGCGCTGGTGAGCGCCGGTCAGGCTCGTTCGGCTGAAGAGAAGCAGAGAGACTCTCAGGAGTTGGAGGCACTGAGGCAAAAAGAGCATGCAGCGAAACGTTCTCGCACATTTCAAAGAGGAACCAGGTACCATGTAGCTGATACACAGTCACCACTTAAAAAACTGCTTCAGTAATGTTATGGTTAGGGTTATAATTTAAACCTCTAAAAGTCTACACAATTTACTGACTGCATTTTTGCATTACATTGGAACCACAAATGTTGATTCCAGAGACAAAATGTGTTTTTATTCTTCCCATCTTTGTCATAAAACCACTGTATGTTATTTACAAGAAGCATTTGTTTCAATTAGATATAAATTGAGGGAAACAAACTTGAATGGCTTATTTGAAGTACTGGAGCTTTATATAAATATATGCTCTGTTCTTTTTGTCTGTGTGTGTGCGCTGATGTTTTTCTTTCAGACACTCTCGCTTTGGAGGGTCCTATGTCGTTCAAGGCCTCAAGTCCATTGGGGACAAAGATGTGATTTATCACAGACACATTCACGATGTGAGTCATTAACTCTTGCAGCTCATCTGTGATACAAAGCAGTCGTATGGTATACAAATCTTCTAAATGTCATTTTTCTCTTGTTTTTCAGTTCAAAAATTATACTCACGACGTAGGCAAAGCAGTGAGACGCGTTCCCAAGAAGAATCGACAGGCTCAGGAATGTAAGGACAAACGTCGTTCAGCCTTAAATGTTCGACTCTTCCTGCGAGAGTTTTGCGTGGACTTCCTGGAGAACTGCTACAATCGCCTCATGTACCTTGTCAAGGTCAGCTGCTGTGACATTAATGACTTCTTTTTTCTAGCACAGACTCACAAACCCACCTTAATAAGGACTCCATTTGTTAAGCAGTATACAAATATAAAATAGGACGCCACCATACTATATCATCAGGTCATTATTAAATCTGTTCATAACATATTTTATTCAGAATATGCATTTAAGAAGCCACAGATGTAGAAAAGTTAAGTGAGCTTTACAGGATGCTAGAATACTTGAATCAATATGATGTGGACCCACAGAAAGAACAAAGAAAAACATTGTGGTCCGTTTGCTGTTGTGGACGAACTGAAGGAGATAGAATTCCTTTTATAAAATTACATTACATAAAATCCTTTTAAAGAGGATGTCTGATATGTTTATGTGGAATAGGTGACTTACAAGTGAATCATTCTTTAATTGTTGTGTACATTTGTTGATGATCATGTTATAAAACTAACAAAACTCTCAACAAAATACTTCCTCGTCTCCTCTAGGAAAGTCTAATTCGAGAGCAAACTCAGCAACATGACGAGACGTACTACCTGTGGGCGCTCAGCTTTTTCATGGCCTTCAACCGGGGCAACGGTTTCCGTGCTGACTTAGTTTCTGAGACCATGTCCATCCGCGCTTTCCATTTTATTGAGCGCAATATCACCAACTACTATGAGATGATTCTCACTGACCGCAAAGAGGCAACGTCCTGGTCCCGCAGGTAAGATCATTCTGAAGTGGGTTACTTGAAAGATTTTAAAGCTGTGCGTTGGTCCCAGACTGATAATCAGAATCAGAAACATGTGTACAGTTTAAAGTCACACTTTC